AAAAAATGTTCATAGTCTGCCAGTTTTCTATTTTGTTACAATACGAGTTTAGTTAAATTTGGTACAGAATCTATCTATCTATTTATTATTTGTTGAATCATTTATTTTCCAAGAATGTTTTCTGTACTAAAATATTCATAACATGCCAGTTTTCTAGTTTGTTACAATACGAGTTTAGTTAAATTTGGTACAGAATGTACAGAATGTATCTATCTATTTATTATTTGTGTATTCATTTTTTTGCGAGAAGAACGGGGAGTTCTAATCATCACTATTCCAAAATAAAGAAGTATAATGCATTTAAGGATATTAAATCATTCATCTAAATCTATCATTTTGTATAACGTTTTTTTTCTTTTAGGCTATCTGTTGCTTGGACTATTGTAGTCGTCGAAAATGGCCTTTAGTTTTCATTATAAACGGCTGTAAATTTATTGATAGAGGATGTGTGAAAAGCTATGTAGTCCTTATATTTATTAGACATTGGCAAGAATTAACAGTACCAACAAAAATTAGATATAAGTGCAGGGATAGTATTGGTAGCACTCTTATCAGAAATGAACATTGTTTATTGAACTGAACAATTCTCCGAAACTTTGAAGTTGAAAGATAAAATGATTTTTTTTATCACCACTTGTGTTAAAGTTTGAAATGTCAAGAGTGGCGAATACAAAGTTGAAAATATAAAGTTTTAATTCAAAATTTTATGTGGATCAATAAAAAGATTTTCACTTTTGGTGTTCTGATATATTTCTGATTAACTCTAAATTGTGTAGTATAAACTTGATGAGCATCTTATATTGACTCTCTAACTAAAAACATTATATTTGTAACAATTTAAAGGCAAACCTTGTTGCATTCTTAAATGTAATTTAATTTGGTAACATCGTCATAAGACATTCTCTGTTTTGCTGTTAAGAAGTAATACTAAATCAATAAGAGAAGTTTTAGCAACATGTAATCATTCAATCTTGCCAGCTGTATCATTATAGATGTCGTCGGGGTGTTATTATTTCTCATCATTTCTAAGTGTTTAATATCATTGAGATGTCTGAAAACGGAGTTAGTTATATCCTGTCTTCAAGTGAATCATTTTGTTGTGAAATTATTTTATAGTCAACAGCTTAGACAATATATAAACAGCAATAACTTGCACTGTGTTAAGGAATATGTATTCGTGTTTAAAGTATTTTTATTAGAACAGAGAGTTATCATAACCACCCATGCAAATGCATAAAAATAAAATGTATTTAAGGAAATTATAGAATTTTAAGGGAAAGAAAACAAATTGTCAATTGGAAAACTTTATCATTTCCTCGATCATAAAATGCGCAACTTCTCTTCATGTCAAGATATTTTTATTATCAAAAAAAGGGGAAAAAATAGTTATATTTGTTTGGTTAGCCAATATCTTATTGTTTTTCTCTATTAAGTATATGTTTCTACGTTCTAACTTTTTTACAATAAATATCTTAATATTGTATTGTGAAATTAAGATGTTACATGCATTGGAATATACATGATTGTAAAATGCATGATGTTCCTATTTATCTTTTTTAACATTTGGTTTAAATAACAATTAAACATGTCATGGTGGTAAAAATAGTTTCGTAAACTACTGAAATGCTGTTTTTAATATATATGTTTTTTCTTGTGGTCACAATCCATAAAGCTACATCATGGGGATTTTAATATAAAGGCCAAGGAGAGTGTACAGACTACATGTTCTGGTCGACCTTGTAATAACATATACAATTTCGTTTAGTTTCTTTTTGTATACTATGAACAACAAATGAATAAGAAGACGAACTCCATTTTATGTCCGCGTGTTCCTTTTTCACTTAAATGTACAACTGTTAAACTCATTTGTATAATTTAAACCATTGATTGATGAAAACAAAGAACTATGTCATATTGTTCTATGTGATAAATGTTCTTGTACAGTGTGTGCGTGCGTGTGTATGCGTGTTTATATTTGCATTTCTCTAAGTTATGATTAGCTTTATGCAACAGAAGAAATAAAATTCTGTAAATTTCTTATAAAACTAAAGCTTTTATTGATCAACGGATTTGTTTTATTACGTTAAAAGTCATTAATAATAATGCATGTAACAGCTTTCTATAGTGTGTCGATCATTCCATGTTAGGATGTTTTGAATGAATCTAAGACATGGAATACATATTGTAACGTCAGTATAACATAAAATACGTTCTTGTTTTCTTAATATAATACAACATAATATAGAATGATCTCATAGTTACATTGATAGTATAATAAAAAATTACAAAATGATCCATATCTAATTAATTGTATGTTCTGAGATAAGCAATAAGGAACACAACGTTATATTCTATAGAGATATGTCAGTAATAATTCTTTTTCAATAAATTGCAATAATTTATTAATAAATATAGATTACTTATGTCGCTTTACTTTTTTCAAAGTTTCGAATTTTATGAATATTTTCTGTTAAAAAATGTTTCTATTGGTTATTCGTCGCCTTTAAAATCAATTTGATGTATTACATTTAGACAATAGTTTACTTAGACCAATTCTTTTTTATATGTAAAAGGTGAAATATCAAAAACAAAATAAAATAGATTTTATAAAAAAAATGATAACGAATAATTATAAAAAGATATTCATGAGCAATTAATAAAAAACGCTATTTTGTAGTTAGTCTTGAACTTATACAAAATATTGGTAGTTGATTTTACAAACTTTATTTAGGTTCTCATGCAACTTATATTGAAAATCTTTTTATCTCAAGTATAGCTGATTTATGTTTGATTACTGTTTTTCAATCATGTTTTCCTCTTCCTAGACCTGTACAATATAAATAATAACGCTACCGTTTTCTTGTCTTTCTATCGACAAAATAAATGAATGACATATTTGTCCTTATGCACAAATTATGTGACCGTGTTTCGAAACCTGAAACTGAAGCTTTTGATCTGAAACTCATCAGTTGTGCTAGACTAAGTTGCTATGTGCAACATTCTATCTATTTAAGGCGTCGGTTTGTGTGCATCAATGATAGTTTAGCATAAGCAACTTTTTCAAAAAAACGTGTTTTTCCGTTATCTTGCACGTTAACTTGCATGTATGTATGTGTGTTCTGTTTTAAATGTATAAAGATTTAACAACATATGTGTCCGTGGTTTTATTGATGTGATTTTACGCAACAAGATGTTGTAAATTTTAATTATGCTTTTGTTGTCAATATTTTTCAGTTTTTTAATTTGTATAGTTTATTCTTATGCACTTTTTAGTGTAGGTGAAATCATCTGCTTTTTCAGTTAAAAGTGTGTTGGTTTTTTTTTAGCTTTTTATTTTTGTTGTTCTTGTGTTCATTTAATGGCATTGTGCTTTTTGTGGAGTGTAACTTAAAATATTGAGTTATGTTTTGATCATTGATAGAGCCACATTTTGTTTCATTTACGTAAATATGTCGTTGACATGTGTTACAAAATTGTTACACCAATGATACTCTAATTGAATAAAAAATGCCAGCTGTGAAATTAATTAATCATTTTATAATTACATTTCACAATGATCAAACAACGCAATTTTTGACACTGAATGTATGGTATAGTTGATTGTTTTGATTGTATTTGAAAATTCATGATTTTTAGTTTTATATAAACTATCAAAATATTAAAATTTGTTCACTATGGTTTTTCTTTCGAACTGTTAAAGGTTTTTTAAGGACCCTTCAATTTTAAATTTTTCTATGTATCATAAAATTGGTGCCGAGGTTTTTTTGGGTGAATTCATAACTTTGGGTAAATGGGAACAGTAAAATGATGTCCCCTTAAAATTTTTTTCCAAAGTTGAAAGGAAACACTCCCAACCAACATGCACCAGATTTTTTGTCATTTTGTGATGAATCTTTGTTTCAACGATTCTCAAATTTGGTACAGTCACTCGAATAGTAAATTCGTTATTTTGCAAATTGAAATATAAGCCAAGATGAACAAAACATAGCGCGCATAAAAGTTTTTAACCATGTAATTTATTGAATTTATTCATGGCATTACCGATTATTTGTGATATTATTTGTGAATAATAAATCAAAATTACTTGTAAATTGGATAGTAATGTCTTAAAATAAAAATTATTCAAACTTAACTTAATATATTTTTTTAAAAAATCAGAATAAAATTATCTTTGCATGGCATTAGCTGCAAACCTTCCGGGATATAAACGTACTTACATTATATCCGTTTTTTTGTTGTTGTTTTTTTTCTTTTTTTTTTTCTTTTTTTTTCTTTTTTGAAATAATACTTTAAAATCAATCAAATATACAAAACAGTTCATACTTAAAAAAACAGACCCCCCTGTAGTAAAACAAGTAAGTTTTGGACATTTGCACCCCTGTACGACCCCAACCCAATCAATAAGGTCTCAACTATGTATAATCGCCACTTTATTTTACTTTTTTGTACATTTTGTGAGAACTTTGTTACTTCAAGTACATAAAGAAAAATTAATAAATATTTTTTTCACTCTGAAAATATAAATGTACAATACGTATTTGATATACATATTTTGGACTATGAAACTATAATATTGGATCCTACTATGATTGATATTGGAACATCACGTGGTTCAAACGCTTAAAGATCATTAATTATATTTTATAAGATGCGAAATATAAATAATTATAATACATGGAAAAACAAGCATGGACATACGATAAAATACAATAATACATTTAAACTTGAAATCTCTAAAATCTTAATGTTATTCGTATCCGCACTAACCAAACAAGTAAAACCTGCAAGAGTATTCAGTGTAGAACTGTGCTATGTAGTGAAAATAAAGTTAGAAGTAAACTGTGCTATCTAGAGAAAATAAAGTAAGAAGTAAACTGCGAAACAAATGTGTTAATAATGTTAATAATGATGGATATTTGTTGTCTCTATTGTACTTGAACGCTTATCAGATTTCAAGATATTGACTTCATATAAAGATCTTTCCCTTTTTTTCATTTCAGGACTAAACAAGATTTGAACTGGAATCAATACATTCTTATTAGGAAAAAAGTCGATTGGAAAGAGGTAAGCGTTTTCTTCGTATGAAGGTCAAAGCTAATAATTTATAAACTTTATATTCTTTATTGCAAAAGATTTTTCCTTTTTATTCCGAAGTCGATTTTTTTACGTTTTGTTGTTATTTTTGTTATCACTGTTTGTTTGTTTGTTTGTTTGTTCGTTCGTTCATTTGTTCGTTCGTTCGTTTTCAATGTAATTTTTGCCAACCATTTTAATAAAATTAACAGTTTTAAAAGAGGATATAAGAATGAAAGGTTTCACTTTATAGGATTAATTTTAGTGACCATTTTTATTCCGAATAAAGCATATATAAAATGGTTGCACTAATTGATTTTTTTAAAAAAAGGTCAGTGCTGTATCCACATTGTCGTTGAATACGTCTCTGATTCCTCCAATTCAATATTGATAAGATTAAATACAGATTTTCCCCCGAAGCTAAAATGATTACAATCTGAACGTATTTCATCTAACTGGCTCGCAAAAAAATATATACTATTTGGCAATATGTGTCAGTCTTACGGCGGCTGCGATTTGTTGATTCTAGAATTAGAAAGCGACGTGTCCAAAGTAATTCTTAATTGAACGATTCAGTTTCAGAATCAAGCAAGAACTCATAAAGCTCTTCATTAAGAAGATGTTCAAAATCGCGACGGAAGGTATAAGATTATATAATACATTTGAGCCGCGTCACGACAAAACCAACATAATGGGTTAGCGACAAGCATAGATCCAGACCGCGCAGTCTGATCAGGATCCATGCTGTTCGCTTACCAACCCTATTACATGTAGAGAAACTGATAGCAAACAGCATGGATCCTGATCAGACTGCGCGGATGCGCAGGCTGGTCTGGATCCATGCTGGTCGCAAACGCATTATGTTGGTTTTGTCATGACGCGGCTAATCTTAAGAAAGAGTTAATCAAACGAGTCAGAAGTGCTTCTAGGAATCATTTCAAAACAAGAACTGGTCAAATCGCACCGCCTGAAGAGAATTGAATGGTAAGGTAGAAAATGCACTGCAGCGTTTTTGAATCATTCGTTTTTTCGGATGCTAGGGTAGATACTGGGATAGGTTACTACGTGAGAACGTAGGTGTCTTCAGTTAGCATTTGATTATACAGAGACTTTTAGAAGCTGTATATGAAGACGACACTTAGTTATATTTGAAATAAAAACTTAATATAACTTTTTTCTATGGTTTACATATTTCCAATTGAATTAATTATAAATCAAACTCATGAATTGCATATAGTTTAAGTAACTTATAGGTCAAACGTGGTCGTTGTTTTAATGTGTTATATGTATTTTTTTCCAAAACATAACACAATGTCGCTCTTATAAAATTTACTTTCTTACTTACTCTCTTATGGTTAACAGCGAAAAATGCATCTACATATTTGGTTTTTTCATTACTGATTTCAGTCATTTATAAGACATTTGGATTAAGTTGGCTTGTTTATGCATACCTTGTTCATTAAAACAGTTACATTAAATAGAATCAGCATTAAATGTCAATATCTAATTGAAATCATAAGCACATTGAATATTTATTATCACATTCGGGCAATATACTGTATTTGATTAGTTAAAAACCAATCCCTGTTTACTCGCAGATCACATTGTTACATGTTTATCATAACTTTCTTTTACAGACCCTGGATGTACCTTCATAAAGGTGCTTCAAAGACACATTATGCCTTAAAAAAAGAGAAAAAAATACATTTATTTAGAAAAGACAATTGTATGTTTTATAATATTGTGATAATGGATCTATAGCATGTTTGATGCTTATCACCTTGGTGTTACAAGACCGGAAGTGGATTATTTTTTCATAAAATGAGCAAAATATAAAATTGGTTATTTGACTTCTATACAAAATAAAAAATTGGTCACTTTAACTATACAAATTGCGAAGATCCTTTAGAATCAAATATTGACTCGGCTTAAAGCTGCATGCCTCCAGATTAGTCAAAAACATTTCAAGAAAATCAACTTCTGAGAAGAATGTAATTATAATGTTAAGTACAGTAAAAAGATTCAAATCTAAAGTAATGATAACAAACAAGGAATGGCTGATTTAGCAGTGTTTATAACCATATTCATATTGTGTGACTAGCGCAGGAAGGGCTTTTGCATATTTTGAAATTTTCGAAAAGAAAGTGTCGTAAGCAATGTGTAATATTTTTTCTTTGATAACTTCACAATATTTTACTTCTAAAAACATTTTCAAAATTTTCATGAAAATTAGCATGAATCTGGAAGCATGCTGCTTTAACGGCAAAGTGTACTCTTTTTAAGAATGTAAAAGAAAACCAAAATTAAAAGCTTTTGAAATATAGAAAATATAGTATTTCTTTTCTGTACTGGGCCTATAAGCGCCGGAACTCTCAGAAACTAATAAATATGCATTTCTTCATCATTATTAGAATTCAAAAACAAAAGACAAACAATATTTTATGCTATTGCTAGAATGTGGTATTGTCTCTTGATACTTTCTAAATATCTTATTCAATGAAACATCTGTTGAATGTATTGATCCATTTTTGTATACTTCAAACCATCGCTATGCTAGATACAGTATGTAGAAAGTTTGTCCATCTTTCATTCTCGACGAGGTCATTCATAATTTATATGTAAAATTTCAATATATGTACTAACTGAATAGTGACCAGTACATATCATGTTCAGATGGTAAAGTCCCGGCTTAGCTTGGTCTATACTAGTCACATGGGTTAAATTCAACAGCGGGCTAAAGGTTCGGGTCTGTGACTTAATTTTTTCTGTATGACTTTTCGTTTGAAATGAGAATATTTATAATTGGTATACTTTGGTTGTTGTCATATCCCACTAATAGACTCATTAATTCATTGATCCTTTAAAACTAAGATTATTTGTGTATGAAAATGATACAATCTATGAAACAGAAGAGAATGAAAGTTTGTTACCAAAATCAGTCATCTTACATCTAGAAGCTCGTTAAATAAGTTTAGTTAGTTTAAACATAGTTTATTTCGAACAAATTCACAATATATATACAGACAATAATGTACACAATACAAACATGATATGTTGAAAAAGGATTGGGTCCGAAAGCTGAACTTATAAAGGCCTTCTCCTTACAGATTTACAATGCATAAAATACGGTATGACAGTATATGTGACTTGCTTGAAATATATTTGATTTTACATTGTTTTTAAGAAGTTAAAGTCAAAATTGTTTCTTACATTTAGTTATAATGTAAAGCAAAAATATATACAAAAAATGAATGAGAATACAAGACTGCATCATTTTGTTATATAAAATTAAAGAGAAATAACGTAAATTAAGATAGAAAGAAATGAAGTAAGAAACTTTCAGCAAAATAGAAAAGAAGAAGAAATAAATTAAATGTGTTTAAATAAGTTTAGTTGTTATACTGTTTTATAAAGTCTGCCTTTCCCATCAGTAGTAAAACTTACCTAGATATAAGACATGCAATGTTTATATATAATATCATTGATTTCATGTCTCAAGTAATTCTGTTTACAGTTAATTTTCATTTTTGCTTGTCATTATGTCGATATTTATCTTGCTTTTATAAAACAGTCGTCGTAACCTTATGTTACATATCATTTCAGGCTAAGACAGTTTAAATGAAATCAAAGGAAAATACATAGATTTATTAAAACTTGGATTACGCTAGAATATAGCTGCAGGAGAAAGGTAAATTTAAAATATGTTTTAAAATATGTAGAGCTTATAGCAAAAACATACAATGAGAACTAGTTGTCACGAATTTGTTTTAATTTTATTTTTTGTCATGATACTTGGGTTATTCAGCTTTATTCGGTGCCCCGCTGAGTGGCCCTATATTGCTGTAAGCGCTGAGTGGCCCTATATTGCTGTAAGCGCTGAGTGGCCCTATATTGCTGTAAGCGCTGAGTGGCCCTATAGTGCTGTAAGCGCTGAGTGGCCCTATATTGCTGTAAGTTACAGTATCTGCGACTCGTGAGAATTGCTCAACCATGTTGATCTTCACTCTAATACTTCAGATGTTCAGCGCCTGTGACATGACCCGAAAAACACTCTCCCATCGCAAGACCCTCCGTCGTTGAAAAACTAGGCCATGTTTGATTTCGGAGTGGTTTTGATTAAGGACAATTTTAGGATACCTTTAAAAGACTCATAGATTAAGACTGTTTTAAATCATAAATATAGTTATCATAAGTTAGGACCGTTTGAAACGCAAAATTGACTCAATTTGTATCTAAGGACTGACTGAAGACTAAGGACTCTCCATGAAACGCAACCCAGAGCATTTAGAAAGCTGTTGTAAAGATAGACACTTATTTTGAAGTCGGCATTTCTCATCCTTTATATATCTCAAGAGTGTGCGTTTTATAGCTTAAAACTACACTATTCTTTATAATTGTTTCAAACGCGTCTGACGAGAAGTTAAACATATCCACAGCAATTTCTTTCCCTAATCAGTAAATTAGCATACATGTAACATATATTACTTGTTACTAAGAGGGTTTGAACCAAGAAGATTTATTTAAAAACTTCATTTGGATCTGTCTCTTTTTTAAAATACTTTGTTCCATTGTAAACCAAAATACATCAATGAATAATCTTTAATGTTTCGAAAATGGCCTTTAATTACTTTGACAACCAAATCCATTCATTGTACAATGGACCAAGATCATTCTCCCGATCAGACTTCATTAAAAACAAGTTTAAAATGGTTCATATTTTACATTATCTTATTGTTTTTATTGGTTCTTATTCTGTCAAGAGTTTCAGTGGTATTTTTTTAGTTAAAGTCTGTGCGCATTTATGTGAAAAGTTCATTCGTCTGATTTATATAGATACTCTTTGTTTCTTAATGCAAATGATGATAAATCAACATGAATCCTTCGTAAGCTGACCTCATGTCTATCTTCCTTAAGTCAGCCAGACAAATGAAATTACTTATTTCACCATAACGACATTAAAACATCTCAAAAAAGTAATTGAGGAAAAAATATACAATAAATTAAACGAAGGTTAGTGTCCTATTTCTTAAAGCTGGGCCAAGTTCACTGTTTTTATCTGATATTTCATTTCATATCATTGCAAGTAATATAGGAACATTTTAGCTGTGCGTTGATTATTTTTTCAGATATGTTCTTATAACATAAGTAGATAGTGTCATAATATATGTCGTTTTGGTTTCAACATTGGTCTCACTATTGGTTATGACATTGGTCTCTCTATTAGTTATCACTTTGGTCTCACTATTGGTTATCACATTGATCTCTCTATTGCTTATTACTTTGGTCTCACTATTGGTTATAACATTGGTCTCACTATTGGTTATAACACTGGTCTCACTATTGGTTATAACATTGGTCTCACTATTGGTTATCACATTGGTCTCACTATTGGTTATAACACTGGTCTCACTATTGGTTATCACACTGGTCTCACTATTGGATATCACACTGGTCTCACTATTGGTTATCACACTGGTCTCTCTATTAGTTATCACTTTGGTCTCACTATTGGTTATCACATTGATCTCTCTATTGCTTATTACTTTGGTCTCACTATTGGTTATAACACTGGTCTCACTATTGGTTATCACACTGGTCTCACTATTGGATATCACACTGGTCTCACTATTGGTTATCATACTGGTCTCTCTATTAGTTATCACTTTGGTCTCACTATTGGTTATCACATTGATCTCTCTATTGCTTATTACTTTGGTCTCACTATTGGTTATCACTTTGGTCTCACTATTAATTATCACTTTGGTCTCACTATTGGTTATAACATTGGTCTCACTATTGGTTATAAACATTGGTCTCACTATTGGTTATCACATTTGGTCTCACTATTGGTTATCACATTGGTCTCACTATTGTTTATCAACTACTGGTCTCACTTATTGGTTATACCATTGGTCTCACTATTGGTTATAACATTGGTCTCACTATTGTTATAACATTGGTCTCACTATTGGTTATCACACTGGTCTCACTATTGGTTATCACATTGGTCTCACTATTGGTTATAACATTGGTTCTCACTATTGGTTATCACACTGGTCTCACTATTGGTTATCACAATGGTCTCACTATTGGTTATCACACTGGTTCTCACTATTGGTTATAACATTGGTCTCACTATTGGTTATCACACTGGTCTCACTATTGGTTATAACATTGGTCTCACTATTGGTTATAACATTGGTCTCACTATTGGTTATTCACATTGGTCTCACTATTGGTTATCACAATGGTCTCACTATTGTTTATCACACTGGTCTCACTATTGGTTATCACACTGGTCTCACTATTGGTTATAACATTGGTCTCACTATTGGTTATCACACTGGTCTCACTATTGGTTATAACATTGGTCTCACTATTGGTTATCAAACACTGGTCTCACTATTGGTTATAACATTGGTCTCACTATTGGTTTAAATTGGTCTCACTATTGGTTATCACATTGGTCTCACTATTGGTTATCACAATGGTCTCACTATTGGTTATCACACTGGTCTCACTATTGGTTATCACACTGGTCTCACTATTGGTTATAACATTGGTCTCACTATTGGTTATCACACTGGTCTCACTATTGGTTATCACAATGGTCTCACTATTGGTTATCACACTGTCTCACTATTGGTTATAAACATTGGTCACACTATTGGTTATCACAACTGGTCTCACTATTGGTTATCACAATGGTCTCACTATTGTTATAACATTGGTCTCACTATTGGTTATCACACTGGTCTCACTATTGGTTATCACACTGGTCTCACTATTGGTTATCAACTGGTCTCACTATTGGTTATAACATTGGTCTCACTATTGGTTATCACACTGGTCTCACTAATTGGTTATCACACTGGTCTCACTATTGGTTAAACATTGGTCTCACTATTGGTTATAACATTGGTCCTCACTATTGGTTATCACATTTGGTCTCTCTATTGGTTATAACATTGGTCTCACTATTGGTTATCACTTTGGTCTCAACATTGGTTATCACACTGGTCTCACTATTGGTTATCACACTGGTCTCACTATTGGTTATCACATTGGTCTCACTATTGGTTAATAACATTGGTCACACTATTGGTGATAACACTGGTCTCACTATTGGTTCTATCACACTGGTCTCACTATTGGTTATCACACTGGTCTCACTATTGGTTATCACACTGGTCTCACTATTGTTATAACATTGGTCTCACTATTGGTTATAACACTGGTCCTCACTATTGGTTATAACATTGGTCTCATATTGGTTATCACATTGGTCTCACTATTGTTATCACACTGGTCTCACTATTTGGTTATCACAAATGGTCTCACTATTGGTTATCACATTGGTCTCACTATTGGTTATAACATTGGTCACACTATTGGTGATAACACTGGTCTCACTATTGGTTTATCACACTGGTCTCACTATTGGTTATCACATTGGTCTCACTATTGGTTATCACAATGGTCTCACTATTGGTTATCACATTGGTCTCACTATTGGTTATAACATTGGTCTCACTATTGGTTATCACATTGGTCTCACTATTGGTTATCACAATGGTCTCACTATTGGTTATCACATTGGTCTCACTATTGGTTATAACATTGGTCTCACTATTGGTTATCACATTGGTCTCACTATTGGTTATCACATTGGTCTCACTATTGGTTATAACATTGGTCTCACTATTGGTTATCACATTGGTCTCACTATTGGTTATCACATTGGTCTCACTATTGGTTATCACATTGGTCTCACTATTGGTTATCACATTGGTCTCACTATTGGTTATCACATTGGTCTCACTATTGGTTATCACATTGGTCTCACTATTGGTTATCACATTGGTCTCACTATTGGTTATCACACTGGTCTCACTATTGGTTATCACACTGGTCTCACTATTGGTTATCACATTGGTCTCACTATTGGTTATCACACTGGTCTCACTATTGGTTTATCACACTGGTCTCACTATTGGTTATCACATTGGTCTCACTATTGGTTATAACACTGGTCTCACTATTGGTTATAACATTGGTCTCACTATTGGTTATAACATTGGTCTCACTATTGGTTATAACATTGGTCTCACTATTGGTTATCACATTGGTCTCACTATTGGTTATCACACTGGTCTCACTATTGGTTATCACACTGGTCTCACTATTGGTTATCACACTGGTACTCACTATTGGGTTATCACACTGGTCTCACTATTGGTTATTCACATTGGTCTCACTATTGGTTATCACATTGGTCTCACTATTGGTTATCACACTGGTCTCACTATTGGTTATCACAATGGTCTCTGTAGTTCAAGTATCAGTTTATATTTATTTCATTAAACAGGTTTTTAAAAATTTTTTAACGATTGAAATCACGTAAAAAAAAAGAGTTGAACAATAAAGCGTTAAACGTGCAATTATGTGTAAGGCCCAACTGGACTATAAAAGCCAGCAGATGGCGCTAGGGCAGGTTTCTTATTAATTTTATGCATGCTTCACTTCAGGGACCCTTTTTCAAAGATTTAAGATTAATTACCAAATGCATTAAAACAACACTTGGCATGTTTGTAGGCATAGATATTTTTGATAAAGATTGACCAAAATTATTCAAAATATAACTTTGTTAAGTGTATTTCTGGAAAAAAATACTGGCTGTCAAATTTG